GCATTTTTTATCTGAGAGTTGATTGTTATGGTGTAGTGCGAGAAGTTACGAGCAGAATCTGCCACGCTGCCTGGCTTAAGGGCGGAGCTAGAAGCTCTAAGACGGAGACATTCAGCAGCATTGGAGTTGATGGGTGAACGTGATGAAGAGGTATTGTCGAATTTCTCTATTTTATCTTTACAAATGGTGAACTTTTCTCAAAAAATTGTAGATTTGGGGAACTATGAAATAATTTTCAACGAGGTTAATAATCGGTAAGGTTGTATTACATTTGTAGAGCGGGACACTTTTGGCTTGATGTATGTACTGGGTTTACTTTCTCGCTGTGTCTGATGATATGCTGTGATATTTTGACACGTGTTGGTTTTGCTTAGTGTCAGTAAAACCAGAATGAGTATGATCATAATTTGTGGAAGAACGCTAAACTTGTATCTCTTGGTAGAAAAGGTTATTTGCATTGATGGCTGATCAGCAATTTGAATAAATATGACTTTGTCTATTCGTTGTCTGAGTTTTTATTCCAGCATGGAAGTAAGGGCCTGTTTGGTAGTGCTTCTGCTTTTTGTAAAAAACTTCTCGAGGAAGCCACTTCTGGTCAGCTTAGCTTAATGTAAAAGCTCTTCTAACCAGTAGAAGCACTTCCAGAAAATTATTTTAACGAACTCCAAAAGAAGCTTCTTAGTCTCAAAATCTGCTTTTGGTTTTTCAAAAACTTTCCCAAACGAACCGTAAGTTTCATGGTCATCGCTCAGCCATGTATTCTTTTTAAAACCAATGACCCACTTATGTTTATTTGCACATCAAGAAATTATTAGGAAAATATTTATGTAATTGGTCTAGCGAATTGTGTAAAGTTTATAATCTCAATTCATTTTTACACCTGAAGTTCACTGTCTGCAAGTATCAGTACATTATAGAATGTAAAGCGGAAAATTTTAATAGCATCAATCCAGTTCTGATATGCTAAAGTGGATTGGTTGTACATAGTTGGAAGAACTGCGTGCGGATATTGTCGATTTGAAGGAGATGTACAGGGAACAAGTGAACTTACTTGTAAATAAGGTATTCTTGTCTTTAATTTTGAGTACAACCAGCGATCTTTTCCTTTACCGCTTATTTGGTGAGTTACCAAAAAATGTACTTAGTGTGTCGGTTTATGTATATTTATTCATATCTAATGCAGATTCAGGTGCTAAGTTCTTCAATCGGTGCTGCCTAATGATCTTTTTAGGGCGATGGGCAATTTCAGTTGTAGCAATATCATGATATGGTAGTAAATCCTGTGTATGGAATTGGGTTTACTTAATCACATGATGTCTTTTTACACAAAGTTGTTTATTTATACTCCGTCAAGAACATGCTATTTTTGAAACTTTTTATTGTAATATGTGATGTTGTATAGGCAAGAGCTTGGCAAGTTTTGTGTTGTTATTTGTTCAAATGTTCTAACACGGAGATAAATTGTCTGTATTGCTTTGGCTATTGCAACTTGATATTAGTTTATTGCGTCGAAGGAAATTTTTTCCCCATTGTTTTATTATTTTGTTTTTTGCAGTTTCTTCAAATCTCTCTCAGAATACTTCTTTTATGGTTGGGTATTTGGCAATCTGTGATGATCACAAGAAATTAACGAACGCAGAACTCGTTTGATTTCATTCACTTCCAATGGTGAAATAATTGAAAATCTCACCTATTTACTGGGTGGATTTTAGTTAGCTGTAAACCTGTCATGGGCTAAGAGTTTTTTTTCAAGGGAAAATTTTCTAGAACCCTACGATTAAATATTAGTTTTCATAAACAAGGAGGTTAAGTTTAAAATTTAGATTTCGGGCGGTAAATAAGATTATTAATTGTATTTAATAAAAAAATAATTACATCTAACAACTTTATTTTTTTTATATATATATATATCATTTTCCTTCTCTCTGTCACATACGACCACCAGAGATACCATCACCTTCGTTGGTGGTACTCACGATGTTGTTGATTCCATCGCCAATGACATCCACCTATCTACCAGATCTAGCTTTGAAACCATCAATTGGACCTCCTCCTCCACCCTGTACTTCTACCTTCCCTCTATTGTCGTTAAACCTCACTCCACCACCAATCCATCCAGTGACAAACCTCTCTTCTGCATCACTTTTCAAGATTAAGGTTATGGACAAGAAGGAACTCACTCCTCCATCCGTCATCGTTGAGCGTAGCCATTGGGGGTCCCGACAAAGAGAAACAAGGTTTTGGGATTCAGATATTTGAGCTCATCAGCTATAGTCAACACTGGGTATATATGACCACCAATGCCCCTAATAGCAGACACAACATGTATTTTGTTAGTTGCAACGGAAGAGAGAAACAACTAAAGATCCTAACGTTCTTGTAAACACATGAAAAGAATTAACAAGTTATAAATAGAAAACATTTATACATACACACATATACATACATGCCTGGCGGTGGAATGGGTGGGAGCATAGTTGCCTTGCAAGGGTGATGCGAGATTGAGCATGGTATTTCCCAATGAAGGCCCGGTGCTTGTAGATGCCTGGACTTTAGGCCCCCACCAATTACAAATAGTGGAAATTATATAATTTTGTATTTGGAGATCGAGTTAGGCTCCAAAGTTTTTTATGCAAATCTCAGGTTTCAATTTAATTATTATATATTTAAATATTAAATTATAATTTAATCTTTAAACGATATGTATTGCAACTGTCGTGTCTTCCTAAATATCGCATTTTGAATCTTAATTATCTTAACTTCCATAATAATCCATTTCATCTTTCTCCCACTCTCTTTCTCTCCCTATCTCTCAGTCCTCTACACGTCTCCTTGCAAGTGCCCACAATTCTAAACTACCCAAAAGTCTTTCCCCAAGACTGTAATCTGTTCGTTGATTCCACTTCCGATAATTTAGAATACACTCTTTTTCAACACTATCGTTGTATCATCAACATTGGCCACATCACTCGCTATATATTACATTCCCCCGTTTCGCCCAAGTTTTTGTGGACAAGTGAAATGGAGAAGTCGAAGGTTGCAAAGATGGTTATCAATGTCGAAGATACGTTAGAACATAGAAACAAGAGGAAATCTGAGGTTAGCCCCAATAAAACACCACCTAAGAAGCACGCAATGTCTGTAACTGCGAAGAAAGTGCGGTCGAACAAGGTGCTTATAATTTTTTGGTGTTGTCTGTTATGATTTTAGTGGTACACATGTAGATGGAACTCATGGGTTAAAAGCATTGAAGTTTCATGTGATATTTACCATGTTTAATCGGCTGTAATCGTTGGCTTAGGGTTTTTGGTACCAATCCTGGGTATGACCTAGATTTCTGCTGAACAGTGGTTTAATTCCATAACAATACTTACGTCTGTGACCTTCGCCATTATCAATGACGAAGCTTTATGTGACCAGGATGTCAATCTGTGATCGAGGCTGTTATGAATAGGTGGCTTTAATGATTGACCTAATTTATGCATGTGACCTGATTGTTAACGTAGTTGATGAATAGTTATTATGTGACCAAGCATATTCGAAACGTGACCACAATTTTTGATAAATTATGGCTTTATTGCATCATCATACCTACATCTGTGACCTTATTCATTATGAACTACGAGGCTTCCATTGACCAAGATGTCAAATTGTGATTGTGGCTTCTATGATTGTGTAGCTTGAATGCACAACATAATGTATGCATGTGACCAGATTGTAACATGGTTTATGAGCAGTTCTATGGCTTTATTGCATAACAAAACATACATTTGTGGCCTCATTCATTTGTATATAGACCACGATACTTATGGCATGTGACCACGATATCGTCTGTGACCCAGTTTGTTGTGGATGTGATGCCTAGATTCATATCATTACACATGCCTGTGACCGTATTATATTTGGTTATACAACAATGTGAATGTATTTGTAGCCTGAGTGTACAGTTGCATACATCTAACTGTGCATGATTTTACTACATTTTCTTAACATTGGTCTTTTCTAATCACTTTGTGTAGGATTGGCGATTCATCATACCAAAGGAACGTTGGTTCCCAGGCAAGATTACAACATCGATTAGCAAGGGTGTACTTACAAGTATTCAAGCAAACTTATCCCACTGACAAAAGCTCATTATGAGGGGAAACATGTTTTGACCATTTTCTCAACTGCCATGAATTGTGGTACAATCACAATTAATTCACTACTTCCTCCTGAGGCATGTCCATCAACCTAATCTTCAGGAGATGTGGTTTTTAGTTGCTGGGCGTTACGTTAGATTCTCTATATCTGAGTTTGCATAGTCACGGGACTGAGATGTTCTGGTGATAGTGACACGGACATTTTCGAAAGTAGACCATCACAACTGAAGACAAAGTACTTTCTCAAGTGGATACTGTAACACATGAAGATGTGAAGTCCACATTCATACCTGCGTGCCAAATGCTAGATATGGATCTTGTTGAAGCCCTTCTGGATCATGATGTTGCACTCAGTGGTATCCTGTATTTCATTACTGCCTGTTTATTTTCTAGAGATTATAAGAAAGTCGTCGACCACTACTTGTTCATTCTCGTTGAGGAGTTCTCTACATTGAACACTTTTCCATAGGAAAAGTTACTGTTCGAGATTACTTTGAATTCTTTGAAAGATGGTTTGAGTCGACAAACCACACACTGTAGGCTACGAGGTATGTTGGCAGCCTTTCAAGCATGGATCCACGAAACTTTCCATGATCTAGATGAAGTTATTGTCACAAGGATATCGAGAACGCACCCTCGAATAAAAATTGGAATGCAAATGTGCAACCTTCTGCTTCTAATGTAATGGTTCAGTAATCCCTTATGTCTGACAGTTCAAGATATGTTAAAATTATTGTTCTCTAATCTTTATTGTAATGCAGATTGAAATCTATGACTTGGTACCAACTGAAGCTGAAATGACAATGCCATACATGGATGGCGTACAACATAACAAACTAATTCAACCAGAGTTTTCCTGTAGCAGCTGCCGAAATGAAAGAAAGGAAAGTCAGTTGAACCTGCACGCATGAGTAAAGAATCAGTGCCTTTGGTAACGGACATTAGTTTTGGACCCACTCACATCACAGATGACGACGACGATTTTGTGAATCGTCCACAATGATGTGAGATGACATCCCATCAGGAAACATTCCGTACTAATGAAGGCCCTTCAGCTACCAAACATTTTCCAAATGAACCACAATATCATAGGACACAATGGAGTGATGTAAGATTCTATTTATGTCGGTTCAAATATTTTCAATATTTTGTCACAGTTCATTTAGTACAGGTCACCATTCGTTTTTTTTTGTCAAAGACATCTTTTTCAAAGTCATATGTAACAATATGTCTTACTTTGCTGATAGGTGCTTCACGAGTTGAATGTGCAAATATCAGAACTTAAGTCATAGGATAAAGTATTAACCGTGGAGATTGACGCCATCAAGTCACGAATGTCGAGCCTCAACACTGATCAGACAAAAAAGATGAACGAAATCATCCTAATGCAATGATAGTTAAAATGTGACATGACGAAGATTAGGACGAACATTCAATTTCTGTCTGAATCCGTGACTGCAATGATCTCAAGTACAATGGATGAGATTTTAAGGCGGTTCAATAACAAGAAAGGTTGTTATGTTAATGAGTTTGGAGATACAAAAGCTGCTGTAGTTGGAGGTGAAAAAAGTCATGTTATTCGAGAATTCGACAAGATTGATGGGGTAGGTACACGATATGTTCAATCTATCTTTCACTGATCGTAGTTACAGTTTTCATGTCTCAAATTCTCCAATTTCACATACAGGTGAAAAATCTGGAGCCCATTGTCGACAGGAAAGGGAAGGGAAAAGTCGACCCAACTGATGATGTAGCTTTTCAATGTAGTCTTCAACCGCCATCATTTGACTTGGGTATCGAATACACACAACCAGATGATTTGCATTCTGCAGAAATTCAGAAGCAGGTAGATGTTGTCATATCTAATGTGATCATAGCATGATGAAGATGTATTCACATTTTGTTCTTTTTGTGTAATTTGCTGATCACATAATGTGTACGTCATGTACAGTAAGTGTTTTGAAACTTCAAATCACACACATTTCCTAAACTCACGTCACAGACATTTTATACGTCGGACGTCCCACCCATCGAATTTATACAAACTCACATGTGACTTGTTACAATTCACATGGATCATTTACTCTTGAACTGGCTTTTGAATTACCAGTTAAGCGAGTTTCAAAGCCCGCGAGGATATTTCGGTCTCCATTTGTTGCTGGGGAAGGAAAGCTATTCTGGCATGATGGTAATGTTATTGTATTTGGAAATTACAAAGACCATGTTGAAGAAGCCGATAAATCAACATTCTTGGGTTGGTTTCAGAGAGGGTATAAATCCAAAAACAGGCACGTACATTTTTCTTATGTTTTTGAATGTACTGCTTATATAGTCACAGTATCTTGACAGTCAATTTCTGGCTCCAGGAAGAAGTTTAATGAGCATAATGACCTAATCA